GCAGAATATCAGAAGAGGACCCAGCATGTGGTGCATGAGAACATCAGAAAAGGACAAGCATGTGGTGTGGGAGAACATCAGAAGAGGAGCCAGCATGCGGTGCAGAAGAACATCAGAAAAGGGCCCAGCATGAGGTGCAGAAGAACATCAGAAGAGGACCCAGCATGAGGTCCAGAAGAACATCAGAAGAGGAGCCAGCATGTGGTGCAGGAGAACCTCAGAAGAAGAGCCAGCATGTGGTGTGGGAGAATATCAGAAGAGGACCCAGCATGTGGTGCATGAGAACATCAGAAAAGGACAAGCATGTGGTGTGGGAGAACATCAGAAGAGGACCCAGCATGTGGTGCATGAGAACATCAGAAAAGGACAAGCATGTGGTGTGGGAGAACATCAGAAGAGGAGCCAGCATGCGGTGCAGAAGAACATCAGAAAAGGACCCAGCATGAGGTGCAGAAGAACATCAGAAGAGGACCCAGCATGAGGTGCAGAAGAACATCAGAAGAGGGCCCAGCATGAGGTGCAGGAGAATATATGACGAGGACTCAGCAGGCATGAGGTGCAGGAGAACAGCTGACAAGGACCCAGTAGGCATGTGGTGCAGGAGAACATCAGAAAAGGACCCAGCACGCGGTGCAGGAGAACATCAGAAAAGGACCCAGCATGTGGTGCAGGAGAACATCAAAAGAGGAGCCAGGATGTGGTGCAGGAGAACATCAAAAGAGGAGCCAGGATGTGGTGCAGCAGAACCTCAGAAGAAGAGCCAGCATGTGGTGTGGGAGAATATCAGAAAAGGACAAGCATGTGGTGTGGGAGAACACCAGAAGAGGACCCAACACGTGGTGCAGGAGAACATCAGAAGAGGATCCAGCATGAGGTGCAGAAGATCATCAGAAGAGGACCCAACATGTGGTGCAGGAGAACATCAGAAGATGACCCAGCATGTGGTGCAGGAGAACATCAGAAGAGGACCCAGCAGGCATGAGGTGCAGGAGAACACCAGAAGAGGATCCAGCATGAGGTTCAGGAGAACACCAGAAGAGGACCCAGCATGAGGTTCAGGAGAACATCAGAAGAGGATCCAGCATGTGGTGCAGGAGAACACCAGAAGAGGACCCAGCATGAGGTTCAGGAGAACATCAGAAAAGGATCCAGCATGTGGTGCAGGAGAACACCAGAAGAGGACCCAGCATGTCACATGACCATTTAGAAGCCATATCTAATGGACAGGAAATAAATAAAATACAGTTTTGGGGGAAGCATGAAGGCCAGAGCTGAACTTTAAATCTGGGGATCCCCCTCAATAAATCCCTTTTGCTTAGCCCCTTGTTGGCAGTGAGCCGCGCCCAGTCAGTGTGATGCTGATGAGAATGTGATAACAAAGGCAATGATAATTCTCGGCAGTGAAGACACTTAATCTCCTGTTTAGGCTCTGGCCTCGGGGCGATTAAACACATTATAATCGCTGGCTGAGCCTGGCATTCTTCGATCTATTGTACACCAGCCAGGAGTGATGCCAAAAACGGGCTCTACCCAACAGGTAACATTTATCTACAGTATGACAAGACTGGCCATTACACACAATGCAGCTGCATCCAACACAGGACCCTCATGACATGAGAGGGGATCACAGGCTGCCCTTTACCTTGAAGTACTGGGTGCAGTGGAGGAAGGAGCAGCGGGGGGGGGGGGGGCACTGCAAACCCGAGTATCAGGGTGGAAAAGGTGACAACGTCTCTCTAAGCTCCATCTAAAGCCAAGAGGTTAAGCTTTAGATACACTTTAAAGAAGTGGTCCAATCAAAGAGCCAGTTCCAAATTTTGGGGGGGGGGCAGACTGGGGCCACTGGAAGTGGACAATGCCCCAGCATTAGTGGTCACAGGCATTCCATAATTCCCCTGAGCTGAGCGGGATAGTGAGCAGGAGAAACAAATGCCTTAGCTCTTGTGGTTAGTAGGAAGAATCGTGTCAGATCATTGGTGTCAGTGAGAGGAAAAATGTCCTATCATTGATGTTAGTCGGAGGAATAGTGCCCCATCCCTGGTGTCAGTGGGAGGAATGGTGCCCCATCCCTGGTGTCAGTGGGAGGAATGGTGCCCCATTACTGGTGTCAGTGGAAGGAATAGTGCCCCATCATTGGTATCAGTGGGAGGAATAGTGCCCCATCATTGGTGTCAGTGGGAGGAATAGTGCCCCATCATTGGTATCAGTGGGGGGAATAGTGCCCCATCATTGGTGTCAGTGGGAGGAATAGTGCCCCATCATTGGTATCAGTGGGAGGAATAGTGCCCCATCATTGGTATCAGTGGAATGAATAGTGTCCCATCATTGGTGTCAGTGGGAGGAATAGTGCCCCATCATTGGTATCAGTGGGAGGAATAGTGCCCCATCATTGGTGTCAGTGGGAGGAATAGTGCCCCATCATTGGTATCAGTGGGAGGAATAGTGCCCCATCATTGGTGTCAGTGGGAGGAATAGTGCCCCATTACTGGTGTCAGTGGGAGGAATAGTGCCCCATCATTGGTGTCAGTGAGAGGAATAGTGCCCCATCATTGGTGTCAGTGAGAGGAATAGTGCCCTATTGCTCTGTTCTTGCTGTTCCATACATCCTATTATCACATTAAACATGGAGATTGCTGTGTTCATTTCAGGAGAGAATTCCGGATTTCGCTGCCTAGCAAATATTTAAATAACTGATCAGCTGCACCAATGTAATGAATCCCCCCCCCCCATTATTGGAGACATCCCCCATGTTGTATGGCAGGGATTTTATATTCCAAAACCGACTCCAATGTTGGGGAAATGGGCCCCGCGCAGGTGAGGGTGTCACCCATGAATGTTTGGTGGGGAGTCCACACCTGGTGGCGATGGGCCAGTACACATTGTATTCAGGGAGTAGTGCGATTGTTCATGGAGGAGGAAATAACACACAATAATCCGAGGCACAATGATCACTGAAATCAGAGATCATTCATCCTTGTGACACGTGACGGCGACGATCGGTCATCGATGGCGGCATGGAATTCGGCTGTAACTCTATGAATGCTGGCGGTCAGCTGCAACCTCAAAGCTTAGAGAGTAAAGCTGCTCTGAGGGATAAAGGATTAGAGCTTGACATTCTTCTGTTTTGTGCCGAAATCCTGGCTGCAATCCCTATTTATTTATTATATAAATCGTTGTGGGACTGTAAAGCCTTCGCACAGCCATACAGAATAATCCTGGTTGTCTAACGTGTTTATTTCCTATGGACACCAGCTCCATCTAGTGGTTAAAATGCTGTTTTTTCCTCATTGAGATATTTTAGCAAAATACCACCTTTAGCCACTAGATGGAGCTGTAGCATGATAGGAATTTCCTATAATACTTAGCTCCATCTATTGGCCATATGAGGTATTTTCCTGATTAAGATATTTAGGCAAAAATTCCTTCTTTAGCCACTAGATGGCGCTATAGTATCATAGGAATTTCCTATAGTACTCAGCTCCATCTATCGGCCATATGAGGTATTATCCTGATTAAGATATTTCCACAAAAAAAATCCATGTTTAGCCACTAGATGGAGCTATAGTATCATAGGAATTTCCTGTAGTACTTAGCTCCATCTATCGGCCATATGAGGTATTTTCCTCATTAAGATATTTCAACAAAAATGTCATCTTTAGCCACTAGATGGAGCCAAATTCGATCCTCCATGTCTTTATAGACCTTGCTTTGTGCACTGGTGTCCCGCTCTAATTCATCCTTAAGGTGTTCTATGGGATTGAGGTCAGGACTCTGTGCAGACCAGTCAAGTTCCTCCACCCCAAACTGGCTCCTCCATGTCTTTATGGACCTTGCTTTGTGCACTGGTGGGCAGTCATGTTGGAACAGGAAGGGGTCATCCCCAAACTCTTCCCACAAAGTTGGGAGCATGAAATTATCCAAATTGTCTTGGTATGCTGACCCCTTAAGAGTTCCCTTCACTGGAACTAGGGGGCCAAGCCCAACCCCTGAAGAACAACCCCACACCATAATCCGCCCTCCACCAAACTTTACACTTGGCACAAAGCAATCAGGAAAGTACAGTTCTCCTGGCAACCGCCAGGAGGTATTTTACTGATTAAGATATTTCAACAAAAATTCCATCTTTAACCACTAGATGGAGCTAAAGTATCATAGGAATTTCCTGTAGTACTTAGCTCCATCTATGGGCAATATGAGGTATTTTTCTATTAAGATATTTCAACAAAATATCCATCTTTGGTCACTAGATGGAGCTAAAGTATCAGAGGAATTTCCTATAGTACTTACCTCCATCTATCGGCCATATGAGGTATTTTCCTGATTAAGATACTGCAACAAAAATTCCATCTTTAGCCACTAGATGGAGCTATAGTATCAGAGGAATTTCCTATAGTACTTAGCTCCATCTATAGACCATATTTGGTATTTTCCTGATTAAGATATTTCCACAAAACTTCCATCTTTAGCCACTAGATGGAGCTAAAGTATCATAGGAATTTCCTATAGTATTTAGCTCCATCTATCGGCCATATTTGGTATTTTCCTGATTAAGATATTTCAACAAAAAATACATCTTTAGCCACTAGATGGAGCTATAGTATCATTGGAATTTCCTATAGTACTTAGCGCCATCTATCGGCCATATGAGGTATTTTCCTCATTAGGATATTTCCGCAAAAATTCCATCTTTAGCCACTAGATTGAGCCAAACACTCTCCTCCATGTCTTTATGGACCTTGCTTTGTGCACTGGTGCGCAGTCATGTTGGAACAGGAAGGGGCCATCCCCAAACTCTTTCCAGTTCCAAGTTGGGAGCATGAACGTGTCCTGCACTGGAACTAGGGGGCCAAGCCCAACCCCTGAAAAACAACCCCATACCATAATCCCCCCTCCACCAAACTTTACACTTGGCACAATGCAGTCAAGCAAGTACCGTTCTCCTGGCAATTGCCAAACCCAGACACGTCTATCAGATTACCAGAGAACAAGTCTCCTCTGCTCTAGAGTCCAGTGGTGGCGTGCTTTACACCACGGCATCCGACGCTTTGCATTGCACTTGGTGACGTAAGGCTTGGATGCAGCTGCTCGGCCATAGAAACCCATTCCATGAAGCTCTCTACGCACTGTTGTTGTGCTAATCTGAAGGCCACATGAAGTTTGGAGGTCTTTGGCTATTGACTCTGCAGACAGTTGGTGACTTCTGCACACTGTGCACTTCAGCATGTGCTGACCCCCGCCCTGTCATGTGACGTGGCCTACCACTTGGTGGCTGAGTGGCTGTTGTTCCCAGTTGCTTCCACTTTGTTATAATTCCACTAACAGTTGAGTGTGGAATATTTAGTAGCCAGGAAATGTCACGGATGGATTGCACGCTTGGAGTCACGGGACCACGCTTGGAGTCACTGAGCTCCTGAGAGCGACCCATTCTTTTTCACCAATGTTTGTAGAAGCCGTCTGCATGCCTAGGGGCTTGAATGTATACACCTGTGTCCATGGAGGGGATTGGAACACCTGAATCACATGATATGGAGGGGATTTGAACACCTGAATCACATGATATGGAGGGGATTGGAACACCTGAATCACATGATTGGGAGGGGATTGGAACACCTGAATCACATGATTGGGAGGGGATTAGAACACCTAAATCACATGATATGGAGGGGATTGGAACACCTGAATCACATGATTGGGAGGGGATTAGAACACCTGAATCACATGATTGGGAGGGGATTAGAACACCTGAATCACATGATTGGGAGGGGATTGGAACACCTGAATCCAATGATATGGACGGCGGGCCCAATACGTTTGGCACTTTGGCAATATAGTGTATATATATATATTTTTTTTTTTCCCTCCATTTTTTGCAATTTATAAGGGTTTTATTTTTTTTAATATTTTTATTTATATCACAGGGGTGCCTGTGATGTAATATAGTGATATAGTGTGTGTATACATATATATATATACTGTGTATGCACTGTAGCTAGGGGCGGACTGACCATTTGGAAACTTGGGCACTGCCCGAGCGCCCGTGGTCAGTAGGGGGCCCCATGAGATGCCCCTGGTACCTTTTTCATAGGCTTTTTTGAGTTTGGGCAAGGACACAGGGGCCCCATAATCCCCTATTGCCCGGGGGCCCCATGAGTTGTCAGTCCGCCCCTGTAGCATTAGGATGATGAAAACCCAAATCTTTAAATCAGTATGAAGAGGGATTTGAATATCCGACATACAATACAGTCACTGGAGAGAGCTAATAGCAAGGGCGCACTGATAACTCATGGGGCCCCCGGGCAATAGGGGATCATGGGGCCCTTGTCCTCGCCCACACTCAAACCACACCCAAAAAAGCCTATTAAAGGTACCAGGGGCAGCTCATGGGGCCCCCTACTGACCCCGGGCCCTTGGGCAGTACCCAAGTTCCCAAATGGTCAGTCCGCCCCTGGCTAACAGCTAACATTATGGCAAGGGATGTGTACTTCACTCATTAGTATCCATGTAATTGTCCTCCAGAATAAAATTCCTGGCGTTTTCTGGCACTCGGGGGGTCCGCAGGTCGAGCACACAGCAGGCCATTAAAGGGAAAGGCTGTGCACACATGTACTTTTTTTGAATCAGGTTTCCCTGCATGTACTAGGGTTGCCACCTCATCCCTTTAAACCCGAACACATATGAATGACACGGGTTCTGCGGGTGATTAAGGTGGCAATTAAACTCACTTATCTGCATTAAATCAGTCTCAGAACCCATGTCATTCATATGTGTTCGGGATTAAAGGGATGAGGTGACAACCCTAACATATACATGTATGACATATTCCCTGAATGTGAAATCGCTGCGTCTGCGCCCCCTGCAGGAGGAGGACAGAATCATCGCCCGTCTGTAGAAACACGCCGAGTGGAGAGGTTTGAGGAATGTTATTACACGGCTGGGTGTGGGTCTCTATATCATGTTGTGCTTTATTCCTGGGAGGGGCACGTGTACGCTCGCCAAGTTCGATCTCACACCCTCTCACAGCTGACACAACATATACCTCGCCGATCTGAAAGTATATACAGCGTATACCCCGACAATAAAATGATTGTGTCCCGGATGTCTGATTTCCATACAGCAATACTAAGCTGTGCCTATAGTGTGCTACTGACATGACATTTCAGCACTTGTCGGTGGCAACCCGTGCAATCCATACATACAAAGAAACCAAAACGAATCATTTCAGAAATTGTTATGTGTAATAACATGGAATGACACGGGGAAAAAGTATTGAACACACTAACCGAATTTTATTTAACCACTTCCATACCGGGCACATTTACCCCCTTCCTGCCCAGGCCATTTTTCAGGTTTCACACTTTGAATTACAATTGCGCGGGCATACAACATTGTACCCAAACTAAAATTTTATCATTTTCTTCACACAACTAGAGCATTCTTTTGGTGGTATTTAACTACATGCCGCCCAGCCACTGTACATATACGGCGGCAGGGCGTCACTCGCAGGCAAAACCACATTTTAAAACGTGTGTTTTGTAAACAAATAGGGGGCGCGCGCGAGGCGCGCCCCCGCCCTATTTGTCCCACCAATCACCACCGCAGATGTCAGTCGCCGGGTCACAGCCGCTCCTTAGCGGCTATCTCCCGGCGATAGGCGGCAAACAGTGACAGAGAGCACAGCTGCAGTAGCTGTGCTGTCTGTCACTTCCCTGTCAGCTCGAGGATGAGCTGATCGAGAAAGAACAGTTTCTCTTTCTCGATCAGCCTTGTCCCGCCCAGTACACACCCCGCCCCCTAGTAAAACACTCCCCTCACTCCTATAACCCTTCCCTGCAAAATAAAGTTAACCCCTTCCTCCCCATTGCCATTAGTACAGTGTCAGTGTTTTTTTTTTTTTTTTGCACTAATCACTGTATTAGTGTTTTTGGGGATGTCAGTGACCCCAAGTCAGTACCCCCCAATGTCAGAATGTCCGCCGCAGTCCCACAGTCCCGCCATAAGTCGCTGGTCACTGCCGTAAGTCACTGATCGCCGCCATAATTCGCTGATCGCCGCCATTATTAGTATAAAAAAAAACCTAAAAATCCCAGTATCTTTCCCGCCATTTGTAAACGCTATAACTTTCACGTAAACCAATTAATTTACACGTATTGGGTTTTGTTTTTAGCAAAGACATGTCACAGAATGCATTTTGGCAGAAATTTATGACTAAATTTTATTTTTGCATTTTTTTTTACTGGACATGTTTTATAGCAAAAAGTCCAAAATATTGTTTTTTTTTCCTCAAAATTGTCAGCTTTTTTTTTTTACAGCGCAAAAAATAAAAACCGCACAGGCGATCAAATACCACCGAAAGAAAGCTCAATTTGTGGGGAAAAAAAGGATGTAAATTTCATTTATGTACCGTATTGCATGACCGCGCAATTGTCCGTTAAACTAGCGCAGCGCTGTATAGCAGAAAAATGGAATAAATTGCAGTATCTATCCCATAGTTTGTAGACGCTGTAACTTCCACACAAAGCAATCAATATACACTTATTGGGATTTTTTTTTACCAAAAACATGGAGCAGAATACTTTTTGGCCTAAATTTATAACCAACTTTGAGTTTACTATATATTTTTTATAGCTGAAAGTAAAAAATATTGTTTTTCTTCAAAATTTTTGGCCTTTTTTTGTTTATAGCGTGAAAAATAAAAAGCGCACAGGTGATCAAATTACACTGAAAGAAAGCTCTATTTGTGTGAAAAAAAGGAAGTAAATTTCGTTTGGGAGCAGCATTGCATGACCGCGCAATTATCAGTTGAATTAGTGCAGCACCGAGTAGCAAAAAGAGGCGTGGTCATTAAGGGGGGTAAATCCTCTGGAGCTCAAGTGGTTAATTTTTTGGGGGGTTTTTATTTTTTGCTAAATTAACAAAAAAAATGCTGAAACAAAAACCCCACGTTTTTCTTTGTTTCTGTTATAAAAGTTTGCAAATAAATAATAATATAATAATAAATTTATTTTTTTTTGTGCTTAGCTGTGATTTGGCCATGGCTAATCACATGACACAGCTGGGCTGTGATTGGCCCAGCTTGTGCATGTGATCGCTGTGACCATTCACAGCTAGACACACTAGTATACAACGGATGGCATGAATGAAGCCATCCATTGTACCTCGGACACGGCCGGTGACAGATCGCGCCGCTGCGCGGCTCTGCAGGTGCTCAAACTGCGCATGCCCGAAAGGACGCCATATGGCGTCCACCCGGAAAGGTGAGGTTTTTTGCCAGCCGCCATTCAGCCATAGGCCGGGCGGGAAGTGGGTAATATTTCATACAAAATCCATTGTTGGTAATGACAGCTTCCTGTATGGAGAAACAAGTCCCATGCGTTGCTCAGGTGTGATTTTGGCCCATTCTTCCGCACAGTCTTCAAATCCTGAAGGTTCCGCGGCCTCTCTTCTGTGAACTTTAGATCTTTCCATAGATTTTCTATTGGATTCAAGTCAGGTGATTGGCTGGGCCATTCCAGCAGATTTATTTTCTTTCTTTGAAGCCAGTTGGAGTTCCCTTGGCTTTGTGTTTGGGATCATTGTCTTGCTGAAATGTCTGCCCTCGTTTCATCGTCATCCTCCTGGTAGATGGCAGCAGATTTTTATCAAGAATGTCTTCCATTTTTCCATTCATCCTTCCTTCAATGATATGACGTCTGCCAGTACCGCATATTGAAAAACAGCCCCACACCATGATGTTCCCACCTCCATGCTTCACAGTTGGGGTGATGTGCAGTGCCAAATGACCTCCAAACATGGTGTGTATTATGGCATCCAAAGAGTTCAATGTTGGTCTCATCTGACCAGACTATATTCTCGTATTTCACAGGCTTGTCTAAATGTTGTGCAGCAAACTTTAAATGAGCTTCAACATTCTTCAGCAATGGAGTCTTGCATGGTGAGCGATCATACAGACCATGGTGGTGCATTAATTATTGTTTTGTTTGCAACAATTGTGCCTGCTAATTCTAGGTCTTTCTGAAGCTCTCCAAGTGGTCCTTGGCTCTTGGACAACTCTTCTGATAAGTCTTTCCACTCTGTCAGAAATCCTGTGAGGATCACCTGGTCATGGCCTGTTTGTGGTGAAATGATGTTCTTTCTACTGTCGGATTATGGCCCCAACAGTGCTCACTGGAACATTCAGACGTTTAGAAATCCTTCTGTAACCAATGGCATCAGTATGTTTTGCAGCAAGAAGGTTGAAAAGGTCTTCAGAAAGCTCTTTGCTTTTGACACCTTGAGATGACACCTGGGTAATAAGACACCTTTTTATAGGCCATCAGCTGAGACTGAACCAGCTGATATTAATTTGCAGTGACAAGGGGCGGGATTGCTAATTACTGATAGATTTCAGCTGGTGTCATGGCTATCCAGGCCTTTTTGCACCTCCCTTTCTTCATGTGTTCAATACTTTTTCCTTGTGTCGTTCCATTTTATTACATATAACTACATTTCTGAATTTATTTGTTTTACTTTCACTGTATGTATGGATTGTGTTTGTTGATACCGACAAAAATTTCATGTCAATAGAAAATATATTTACTGAGAAAAATGGTGATAAAAATACTTATTGTACCTGCTGTATATAGCATACTAAAAGGACATTATATTAATTACATTAGTGGATACAATATACCAAATTGAAACTATATTAATGAAATTAGTGGCTATAGTTTCACTTCCTTGTTCTCATCCCAGGAAGAACTGAAAGCCGCTGAACTCACACCATGAACCTTATGGCCAGTTCTCATGTCTTAAGCATTCTCACAGCCACAACAAATGATTGCCATAAAAAATTGTAATATG